ACCTGATCGCCATCCAGGCCTAGGGACCCTACCTGTGCACTTGAACAGAATCAAACCTGGAACCCTTCAGTCTCCAGGCCGACACTCTATCCATTGAGCCAAACCAGCTAGGGCAGCAAAGAGGGAATTTAAAAGAAAAACATCAATTCAACTAAAGGCCGGACGAGTCAGGAAAAACAAAGCAAAACGAAGTCTCATAAAAATAGCCCTAGCTGGTTTGGCTCAGTGGATAGAGCATCGGCCTGAGGACTGAAGGGTCCCAGGTTCGATTCCGGTCAAGGGCATGTACCTTGGTTGCGGGCACATCCCCAGTGGGAGGGGTGCAGGAGGCAGCTGATCGATGTTTCTCTCTCATCAATGTTTCTAACTCTCTATCCCTCTCCCTTTTTCTCTGTAAAAAATCAATAAAATATATTTTTTTAAAAAAATAAGAAAAAAAAAATGAAGTGACTGTGGCCGGGTAGGAGGACCTAAGGAGAAGGATTTGTTGCTAACGAGCTCTGGGAAGCCGGTGTGACCATTCTTTGTATGACACCAGCTTGTCATTAACATTTCCACTTCCCAGCCAATTGGTGAGCTCGGGCTTTCGAAGGCTGTACTTTGGGGTTTTGTTTCCCATGGAATACATCTCCAATTATATCATCAGAAGCAAGAGGAAGAGGTTTCGTGCTCTAAAATGGTGTGATAAAAGGAGCACGTAGCCCGTCTCCTCTCTGAAATCATCCCAAAGCCACGGAGAATCGAAATGCAAACTCCAGCGCTGATTAAAATGAGCGGTGCCCACCGCTCCAGCCACAAAGTGTATGAGAGGTCCTCCCCGTGTGTGGGTCTGGGAGGAGGAGGCAGAGAGAGGCTGCTCATGGCGACAGGCCTCAGAGAAAGCCAGTGGGGTCTGCTTTTTCGAGGTGAGGTCTCACCCTTAGGTCCTGTCATAAAATCCTGTGTTTGCAATAATGGGCCTGGATACACCAATTGCTATTAGAAGCTTCCCTGTATGTGGTTTATTTAAAAAAAAAAAACAAAAAACAAAAAAAAACAGAGGAGGCCTGAGTGGTAAATCAGACAGGCAAAAATCAGATTGTCAGGAAGACATCTACCAATAAAACAAGGGTGAGGCCCGGCTGGAGTGGCTCATTGGTTGAGAGTCAACCTATGAACCGAGAGGTCACGGTTCGATTCCCTGTCAGGGCACAGGCCCGGGTTGCAGACTTGATCCCCAGTGTGGGGCATGCAGGAGGCAGCCGGTCCATGCTTCTCTCTCATCATTGATGTTTTTATCTCTCTCCCTCTCCCTTCCTCTCTAAAATCAGTAAAAAAATATTTTTTTAAATCAACCATCCAACTTCAGAAACAAGTGAATTGGAATGCCTTAGTCTCCTTTAAGTGGAATGTTGGGTCCCATTTAATGAACTAAATTGAATTATTTATTATGGAGTTAAATGAAATCCCTTGTAAGTCCAATAGTAAACCAACTGTATGCAGTTTCATTCAAGTTTTCTTTTTTTTTTTTATTGGTAGTTAAGTCTCTTGAATGGCAGATAAGTCAATTCAGAGAGAAAGTGAGATGCTGAGAAACGAAAGGATTTAAATTAAAGGCCGAGACGCGTGACAAGTGAATGTGAAAATATACAAAACTCAGGACAAGTTCTGGCTCGGGGAAGACACAGTGTGTGCCCGGGCTGCTAAAGGGAAGGCGGGGTTGACAGCAGACTTCTATTTGCAGCAGCTTCTCCAGGCTTCCTGGTTCAGTCTTTTTTATTCAGGGAACACAGTGAGAACAGCTTTAAGAATTCTCTCTTCATACCCGGTTTGGCTCAGTGGATAGAGCATTGGCCTGCGGACTGAAGGGAACCAGGTTTGATTCCGGTCAAGGGCACATGCCAGGGTTGTGGGCTCCATTCCCCTGTAGGTGGCATGCAGGAGGCAGCCGATCGATGATTCTCTCTCATCATTGATGTTTCTATCTCTCTCTCTCTCCCTTCCTCTCTGAAATCAATAAAAATATATTTAAAAGTAAGGAAGAAAAGAAAGGAAAGGAAAGGAAAGGAAAGGAAAGGAAAGGAAAGGAAAGGAAAGGAAAGGAAAGGAAAGGAAAGGAAAGAAGGAAAGGAAAGGAAAGGAAAGGAAAGGAAAGGAAAGGAAAGGAAAGGAAAGGAAAGGAAAGGAAAGGAAAGGAAAGAAAGAAAGAAAGAAAGAAAGAAAGAAAGAAAAGAAAGAAAGAAAGAAAGAAAGAAAAAAAGAAAGAAAGAAAGAAAGAAAGAAAGAAAGAAAGAAAGAAAGAAAGAAAGAAAGAAAGAAAGAAAGAAAGAAAGAAAGAAAGTAAGTTAGTTAGTTAGTTCTCTCTCCAGCTGCTGGGATCTGTACGTGTCTTGGAAACTCCCCAAGACCAGGGTTGAGAGCCACCCCCAGCACTTCTGCTCTTGGATGCCTGGTTCTGATTCTCTTTTAAGATGCCGGGCCCCAAAGGCGGGCAATCACGTGATGTGGGCTAGGGGTTCGACTCACCACGGCTGGACAGAAGCCCTCCTAACGCTCAGCGCTCCTAGGCTGCCCACGGAGCCCAGCTCAGAATTTCTCTTTCATGGCACGGCACACCGAGAGCCCACAGAATCCTAGAGTCTCTTTATTTGTTCTATAATTTAATAGTACACCTATAAAATAATTACATTATACTTATAGCTTTTCTTCATTTATAAACAAAAACACACACAATTAAATACGATTTGAGCCATTAGAAGGTAAACTTTGTACATACAAGACCCCCTTTGCAGCATATCATATTGCTTCCGTTGCTCTACCCACAATCGGGCTCGATGAGTGAGCTAGTGTTTGCACTTTGCGAGCTCATGGCTTCATCCTTCCCCTATCGGCCCGGTTCTGTGCTCATACGATGACAGGGGTTGGCTTTGCGGTGTGGCCGGAGGCTGCCCTGCCCTCCCCTCCCCTCCCCTCCTCTCCTCCTCCTCTCCATCGGCCTCCGTTCCAATCACATGGACCGCCTTCCCTCACAGCGTTTCTGTTGCGTGTTCTGCCTGAGTCTGACTTGAGGTTTCCCACTACATGCAAATGCCCTGACTTCGGGCCTATTTCTGAACCCAAGAGCTTCTTTATAAACTGCACATTCTGCTCAGGTCCCAGGGCGTTTCAGAAGTAACGGAAATGAAACTGACCGGGCAGGGGGGTGGAAATGGATGCCCCGACATGTCACGCCCACCGAACCCTTGCTCTCCAGGGGGATGTGTCTAGATCCTCCATCACCTTCTGATGTCAGGAAGCCTCAGTTTCCCTTTCTCAGTATCCGGGTAACTAACAGGCCTTCCTGAGTTCCCCGGCAGAGCACATAGGACCCCGTGCTTGGGCATTGCCAGGGAGAACCTTTCTGCGCATGCTCACTCCCACCAATCAGATTGGCATCTCATTCACATTTATCAGATTCTATAGACATCACTCCCAGGGGACCTTTCGGTGGGGCAGTTGAGCAAAGGGAAAATAATTTTTTTTTCAGGAAATTAAATTATGTCCACTTCCTTACATCAAGAGACCACAACATGAGAACCTCAAGAATTCATTAGAAAAATGCAAGCTGGCCTAAGGCTGCCCATCTTTTATTGGCGAGTCCGTTCTTTGAAAAAGGAAGCTGGTGGCTTTCTGCCAGGAGAGAGTTTATGGATTTCCATTGGACATGTTGTAGCCTTGACTTCCTCCAAGACCACAACGGGACCCGACTCCTTCTCTTCTTCACTATTTCTCTCTTTTCAAATAGTGTTGCTTAGTGCCTGGCAGCGAAATAGGATACCTTCTCACCCCACCTACGCATGGTACATATTCTCGGGGCTTCTGGGTCTCCGATGAACAATTTCCCAATGTACCCGCCTCCCCACCCCCCGCCACCCCAACCTGGTGCCTACATTGGGGTGCAATGACTGCCTTCCATTCAAGGGGAAGCCACCACTCCTCCCTCACCCCCCTCCCCAATCTAGAACAGACACCGGCTGCCAGGTGTTGTTTCTGGGTCACCCTCCTGCTCTGGTCCCGACTCAGAACCTGCTGCAAAGCCGGAGTCAAAACCCGTGAGACAGTACCAGGCGGGGTCTGGAATACGCGTGAACAGCTCTTTACAATCCAGGCCAGGGAGGCCGCCATGCCGGCGCCGCTATGCAGGCTGTGCAGGTGAGAATAGGCGAATGGCAGCGAGAACGGCATGCGCTCCAGAGTTCATCTTGAGTCCGTTGTTGGGGGTGGGAGGAGTGAGGATGGCGGCAGCGGCTAGGGGCGTGGGGAGAGCGTGGCCTGCTGTGAGCAAGGTCCCCAGGGAGGCCCATGTGGCCACCCAGGTCGGCTTCTTGGCATCAGGAGACGAGGAACTCCCCGCCCACAGGCAGCTGCTCCGAATCCGCAGCTCAGCAGCGAGAGGGCAGCCCCAGCCAGGGGGACCAGGGGGCCCGGGGGCACCAGGGGACCAGGGGGCCGGGGACCAGCAGCAGGGGGCTGAGGGGCTGCTCTGAAGAGGGGCACATCCTTCACTTCGGGAGGCAGAGGGCGAGCTGGAGCGCAGGCGAGGCCAGGGAAACGCTCCCCTTTCCACACGGTGGAAACATCCACGCCTCTCCCACCGCCCGGTGCCAGTCCAGCATCTTCCTCGGGGTTCGGGAGGCCCAGGGTGGGCCACCCAGACACCAGCCAAGCTCCCCTCGTGGCCACGATCCGCCCCCAGGGCACGTGCTTGCTGCGTGAGCGGGTTCGAGGACGGGGACAGGGGAACGGGGACCGATGCGCGCTGATCTGGGCAGAGCGGCGTGCGCCCAGGGCGCCGGCTCACTGCTTGTTCGAGTCGCTCAGGTTCACGGA